GGAGATACCAGGTTTTTTTCACTCACTGTCTACACTTGCAGAGAGTTTATGTGAGCACATGGGGCGATGGAGGAAGTACACAGCCAAGAGAAGTCTCAGAATGAAATCTATCTTGTTCATGCCTTCATTCTGAGCTCCCAGTCTCCCAAACTGTGAAGAATAAATTCCTATTGTTCAAGTCAAGCAGTCCATGGTATTTTGTTATAACTGACCCGGCTCACTAAGATACCTGCCCTCCCCCGGTCACCCAATTTAGAAATTTCACAAATTTTGGTTAAATTAATATTCTGTATTAATAGTCCTATAAATATTATTTATTAGGAGCCTTTTAGTTTATCATATTTTATCATTAACACACTTTTTTGAAAAAAAGGTAGAGTTATCAATTTCCTCAACTTTTTTTTTTTGCTTAGTTTTCCAGGTACCTACCACTAATTAATTTCCAAACAATTTCATGAAACCACCAATTAAGCATCTCTACCAATCAAAAAGTCTCCAAACAGCTTTTTGTTTTCTCACATAGTTTAAATATAAACTATGAGCCAAGGTATTCAGAAAAGTCTGTAGAGATGCCTCATTATCCTCCCAAAAAAAGATGCAGGCACATTTAAAATCCTTCTGTGGGCCTTCCTGAGGGACTCAAAGATGGAGTCATTTTTTCAGAAGTAGTTGTTGAGGCATCTAAATAGTTGTTAGCCTAAAATTTTGAGTTTAAAATTGCACAGAAGGCATTTCAAGTTCCTTTTGTTTATATTTACCTTGATCATAGTCCTCCCCAACCTCAAATGAGATGAGTAGCCTGTAAAGGGAAAAAACTTACAAAATATTGCCTGAAACAGACAGGGTGTGTGTGTGTGTGTTGTGTATGTATGTGCATTCTTTTGTTGGGTTGCAAAATCACAGTTTAGCTGCCTGTAGGCATATTTATGGGCAGACACATGGAAGGCTCATGGAGTATGTAGCTGGCACAGGAGCACTGACTTCCCATTGACAGCTCCTTACTCTATTGTCCATGCTGCTTCTATGTGATCCTGACTTTTGATGGTCATTTCTGACATATAGATTCTATTTTCCAAAATGAATTACACAGAGGTAATGATCAGAGGGTAGTATTGTAAAGGAATGCCAAGGAGTGTAGAGGAATGCCAAGGATCCAAAAGAGAAATAATCTGTTCAGCATTTATTTACGGTTTTTCTTGCCAAAAATATTCTCTAGTTCCTGTCCTTACTGTAAAGGTTTGTTTAAATTATATACACCTATCATAAACTATCCAAGCATCTGGAACTAGTGCAAAGGAGAAAGTTAAAAGAATCACCCAATATCCCAGAGGTAATGACCAGGGTTCTATCAGGTGAGCATCCTTCAAGACATCTGTAATAAGAATAGAGAGGACTGTAAACATCATTGTCCTCTAGTTTTCTCCTATCTTGCTGACTCCTGCTTCTACCAGTCTTTCAGTGGCTGAGTCCCAGATCGGTCGCTGACCCACCCTCATTTCTGTAATACTCTCCAGAGCCGGAACTACCTCCTGAGCACCCTCAAAATTTCTCAGAATCTTCCTCTGGCCACCCATTTCTAGACCTGCCTTATCGTACACTTCTGTTTAACTCCCAACCCAGGTATGAAATGACATAGCTAGGTAGGTATTCTCAAACTAGAGCTAGAAAACATAATCCTGGGGTTTTGAGCAGTCTATAGAAATTTGGAGAATAGCTAATATTTATTGAGCATTTACCACACTCCAGGTGCTGTTTGAAATGTTTTCCAGGTATGAACTCATTTAATTTTACTATACCCCTACAAAGCAGATATCCTTATTGTCATTTACAAATGAGCTAACTTAGCAAGATTTCTATCAAACAGATGAGCAACCATGGAAGAATTTCAAGTTCACTTGGTCTATCTTTATGTAAAATAGCATCCTTTTAATTTGTCCATCCTTTTTATATCTATGTTAAACACATATCCATTTATTTTTATGTGCAACACCCCTCATAAGCATCTATATTTTAGTTGCTCTTATTTTCTATACCAGGATTGAATATTCATAAGTCATATAACAAGCACATTAGAAAAAGCCCTAATGAGCAATCACTTATCCGATCAGGTTTGTGATATCCTACTTATTGGCTAAAGGAAGTCATATGGCCAAGTCCAAAGTCAATATGGGACAGTTCTACACAAGGGAGTTGTGATACCACAAGACCTGATTCATTGGGGCCAACATTGTAACAGCCTTCCACTAACAGGCAACTAAGAAATGGTTGATCCAGTTATCACACTTTCTGCAATCTGCAAGACCACACACAAAATTGGGGTCCTAGAGACTCTTTTTTTTAAAGATTCATTTATTTATGCATACAAAAACTGGGGTACAGGTCAGAGGGTATAGGGGTGAGAGGATTCACCAGAGACAGAGTGGGGAACAGAACAGGCAGATGTACTAAAATACACTGCTGAGAACAGCAGATGAGACAGGAGAGTCTGCTGCACCATGTGGGCAGCTCCCTGGCTGGGGATCGAACTCATGCTGCAGTGGCTGCGGACAGCGCCATAGGTTGCATCTTAACCCCTTGGCCACCAGGGAGGCCCCTGAAGACTCTTGAGATGGGTTCTTATTGAGGAGCTTTTTTCAGACCTCACCTCGCAGACACAGCCCCATGTCTATGAGTCAGAATCTCTTGGGGGTAAGAGATATGGGGAGGAAGATGGTGACAATTCCAACAACTTGAGACTAAAATAGCTCTGCAGAGGATTCCAACACACCCTGGGGCTGAAGGGGGTTTCAAAAACAAGACACAGTCTCTACAAAGAGCTCGTCTTTCCACAGAAAGCATTCTTAATTGTCATTATTGCATTATACATTTGCATTATATATATGCATATATATTATATATGTATTTTACATATGCATATATATATCCATCAGATGTGCAACCATGGAAGTATTGCAAGTTCATTTGGCCTATCTTTATGTAAAGTAGCACTTTGATTTATCCATCCTTTTATATCTAAGTTAAGCACATATCAATGAAAAAAAATTGTTTTCCATTTCTCTTTAAAGCACTGGTTCTCATACTTTTGTGGGCAACAGTATTAACTAGAGGGCTTGTTTAAACACAGGTGACTAATAGCCCAGTCTCTGATTCAGGAGGTCTTGGGTGGAACCCACAAATTTGCGTGTCTAACAAGCTCACCCATCCAGATATGCCACTCGGAGAACCACCGAGTTAGTGCAGTAGGATTCAGTGATAACATTCTTCTCTTGATTCACATTTATATATTGCACTTACATGTTCACAGCACATCCACATACAAGGACTTGGGCTGGGTGCAGCTGCAGATATCAGGGTAGGATTTAGATCTTGATTACACTTGAGTAGATTTATTCTCTAGGTGGATCTATTTGTGGAACCAAGCATAAGTATTCTTAGCCATTGCTTTGTGTAACTGCCATTTTAGAATTTTAGGTTTTGCTGGGGAAAGACTGCATTCCAGAGATAGTTTGGACCCTCACTCCACCCTTACTCTCTGGTCACCAATGAGGGCGAACTTGCTGTCATTGGAGCTACAGGTTGGAGCTGCATCTTGGCCTGGCCAGTCAGCTTAGAATGATAGCTGGGCAAAGTTGGAGAACTCATCCTTGTAGCCAATGAGTAACTGCCAGCATAATTTAACCTTATTAAAAGACCCCTGCTTCCTTTGTTCGGGGCTCTCGGTATCTGCCACTGCATTGGTAGGTGCCTTGAACCTGGACTCGAGTCTGAAATAAACTCCCTTTTGTGTTTGCATCAGCTGTCTTTGGGTTCTTCGAGGCTATGCTCGCCGAGTCTGCTGACCTTGGGCACAACACTATTCTTTAAGACAAGCAGCCCAGGTGTCATTAGACTCAGATGAAGGCAGAGATCGCAGTAGGCCACCCTTTGACCTGGGTCTTGAAAGATGCCTAGGACCCTAACACGTGGAAACCACGGAAAATCACAGCATTATTTCCGCCAAACACGCGCGCACACCGAGGTCTCTGACCCGCTGGCCTCGGCCTGGCCTCCAGCATGCACAATCAGCGGGCATCGGAGCAGGGGCGGTGGTCTCTGGGTGCAGGTCTCTCTCCAGCCCTTCTGGGTAAAGGGTAGGCCTGCCTCGTCCTGCCTTTCGAGCCCCCAGTGTCTGGTGGGTGGTGATCTGGCAAAGGGCGCGGCCTGGGAGCTACGGTACCCCAAGGCCGGCGCGGGGCGCAGTGACCCCGCGAGGCTCCGGGCTGCAGAGCTGTGGCTCGGGGGCGCCCGCGGGAGCATCGCCCGCGGAGTCCTAGATTTAGGAGCGGGGCTGGGACGGGCCGCGCGCCAGCTGCACGAGCCGGCCAGGCGCGCGGCCCAGCACCCTCGCTCCCTGCAGGCCGCGCGGGCTTCGCGGGCGGCGGCGGCCGGGGGGCGAGGCGCGCGCCCTCCCGCCTCCACCTTCGCGCGCGGGCGGCGGCGGCGCGCGGGGCGCGCTCCCGGCCGAGGGGAGGCGCGGCCGCCCGCCCGCCCACTGCGCCTGCGCGGCCCCGCCCGCCCCGCCCTGTTACCCCCTCGACGGCCGCTAGGGGAGGCGCGGCCCGGCGGCGGCCGGAGACCGCGGCCGCTCTGAGGCGCGGGAGCGGCTTCCAGGGCCCGGGGCCGAGCGGGTGGGAAAGCGGCGCCCGAGGAGGGCGGCGCCGGCGGAGGGCGGCGCGCGGCTGACTCATCCCCCCGGCGGGGCCGCCTGACGGACACTCGCCCTCGCCCGCCCGCCCGCCCGCTCCTCAGCCGCCGCCGCCCGGGCTCCGGCCGCGCCGCCGAGAAAGTTTCCCCGTCGCGGCCGCCGCTGAGGAGGGAGGGGCGGGCGACGGCCGCGCGGCCGGGGTGCATGGTGCCCGGCGCCGCGGCTGCCCGGCCGCAGGACCTCGGGGCGGGGTCGGGCTGAGAAGCGCCGCGCCCGCCGCCCGCCGCCTGCGGAGCCCGCCGCCGCCGCCGCCGCCATGTCCCGGCTGCTGCCGCTGCTGCGGGGCCGGCCCGCGCGCGGCCTGAGGCCCGGCCCGGCCGCCGCCGCCGCGCCCCGCCCGCCCTGGTGCGGCTGCGGCCGGGGGCTGCGCGCGCTCGCGGCCGCGGGGGGCCGCCCCGCCGGCGCCCGGGGGCTGGGCACGCACCCCAAGAAGGAGCCCATGGAGGCGCTGAACACGGCGCAGGGCGCGCGCGACTTCATCTACAGCCTGCACTCCTCCGAGCGCAGCTGCCTGCTCAAGGAGCTGCACCGCTTCGAGTCCATCGCCATCGCCCAAGGTGAGGGGCGCGGGCGGGGCGGGCCCCCCCCCGGCCCCCGCCGCCCACCCGCGGGCCCGGCCCGCTGCCCCCCAGCCCCGGCCGGCCGGGCGCGGGACGGGCCGCCTCGGGGGCGCCGCCGTCCCGGGCCGGGGCGCAACTTTCCTGGCTGGTCCCCGGGCGAGGACGGGGTTCGGGTTCCCCAAAGTCCGAGGTTGCCGCCTGCTCGGAGGTGCCGCGGCCCGGGTCGGCGCGCGCGGCCAGTTGCATCCTCGTCCCGGGATGGACGGGGCGCCCCGGGCCGGCGCCCCCGGTTCCCGCTGCCCAGGGCTGGAAAGATGAAGCCGGCAGGAATGTGGGGTTTTTTGTTGTTTTTTTCCCCCTCCTTTCTTTCTGGGAAATCTGTGGCTCCACAATGAAAAGCAGACTTCGGCTCAAAGTTACTGGGAACTTGGCGAAAGCCGAGCTATTTTTAAGCGACATGTTAAAACCGGGTATTTTTAAAACCGGTGCAGCGAGCCGGTAGGTCGGAAGGTGAGTCCAGGCGAAAAGCTGAAAGTTTAGAAAGTCAGAAGGATGAGAGCAGCAAGCCGCGCAGTCAGTCTTAGGACATCGTTCCATTTAAGAAAGGCCGTCCGGGCAGGATGCGTGGTTACCGTTTCACGATTCTTGATGTGTTTGAAAGTTTTTTCTTTTCTTTCTTCCTTCCTTCTTTCTTGCTTTCTTCCTTTTTTTTAAGTTGACTCCCCACCCGCAGAGTTGGTCGGTGTGTAAGTATCTCATGGACTCCCAGGTCTCCAGCACACTGATCTGGAACATGGCATTTGATTTGCCATGATTGATGGCTCATGAAAGTGTTATTTTGGACTGTGCCTGGCGATAGCAGGATAACTTATCTACCTCATAAAAGCATAACTTCTCTCTGCCGCTGCTGCACAGACCTAGTTGTGCCTTTTAACTCCTTCACCTCCCTCCCTCCGGTTCAGGAAATTAAGGACCAGTTTATAGAGTTGGATGATTCCAGGCATTGTCTACCCGCAGTGCCTTTACAGGGCGAATGTGACACAGCCATCAGTTCAGTTATTAAATATGTGATCATGCTGTGACATCAGAGTCACATACTGGCACATGTGTAAGCTATGTGTGTAGGCTTTGTGTGGTTTAAGAATACTCACTTCTGATGCATATGCTCCCTGTAGAAGAGTATAGACGTCATCTGCTGGAGCAGTAATTTCTGGTCTCTTCCTCCATTGGTAAGACTATTTGAACATACATTTGGTCTTTTCTCGAAGTCATTTCTTGAAAATTCTGCAGTAACATTGTTATTAGGAGGATCCTATTATAAAATAGTGGCATTTTTGTAAAGCCAGTACAGCTGGATGAATTTTACTTCATACCTTGTTTTAGCACATGTCAGCAGTATTGCAGGGGCACGATACATTTTCCAGTGAAGATAATGTTTTTAGTTTAACATCGCTTTCAATATTCTGGGAAGGACTTAGAAACTTCAGTCAGTGGAGATCAGTTAGTCTGAATTGAACTTAACAGTTCTGTAAGTTATATGAGAGAGAATTTAGTAATTTAAATTGGTATCTTTAGGAAGACAGGTAAAGATGTGGAAAATTGCAGTGGCCAAATAAATGTTTATCTCCTGTTCACAAGCTAAAGAATTTCAGAATTTAAATTAGCTAATTTTGCTAATGTTAATGGCTAAAATATTGCCCTTTGACTGAAATGACACTTATTGGTACTGTTGCTTTAATTTTTAGTGTTCCTTATTGTTTTATGTATATATAGCAGCTATAGAGATAACTGGAATCATCACTAGTAAATTACCTTATTCATTAATCATTTACAATAAAATGAATTTTACTATATTGAAAATGCATACAGCTCATTCCATTACTGAAATCAGCATTTTCCCCAATCGGTGAAACACGCCCATGTTTTTCTTTTATTATTGCTTTTTGAATGTATTGAAATACCCGACATAAGTACTGAATGTGTTTGTCCTAAGTGCACTTTCTTATGGAGTAAATTCTGTTAAAAGGCCTATTTCTTATTATGGGAAGGTCTGTGTGTCTTTGGAAAGGATGCTTGTATGATCTACTGAAATGTTTGCACTTGGAGTGGAAGCATTATAAAAAAAGGTTCATTCATACTTCCATGTGGCAATGGAGGCTACTGCTGGAATTTTGTATAATTGTCCTTATCTGCCTTATGTGTTTATGAATAGGTTTGTGATACAGTCTATGAAAAGATAAAGCTTTAGAATCAATTTGTAATAGATATGGGAGGCTTTGCAGTATATCCGAGTTAAGATAGGATACTGTGATTTTTAAATTAAAAGTAAATTGAATTCTCCCCAATTTAACAAAAGTTGATAAATTCCTCTCTCAATTTATCTGCTCAACCAGATCACTCTTCTTCCACAATCAGTCTGTGTTCTGTGGATACTGGCGAGTTGGCATTACCGCTTTTGCCTTTCAGTTTTAAACAAGATTTTAAAAACAAATCTTTCTTCCAAACCTTGCAATTAGTATTTCAATATATAATAATTTAAAAAACCTTTTAAAATACAGCAATTTGGTTCATGAAGGATGGGCGGTCCTCATATGTTACCCTTTTGCTGTATAACATCTGACCTCAAAATGCTTAAGACAGACACATATTGTTTCACAGTTCCTGAGTGTGGACTCCTAAAGAAGCTTAATGGGATGTTTTGTTTCTCATGGACTTATAATGAAGTTGATGTTGCATCATCTGAAGTCTGGACTGGAGGGAGGATCCATTTCCAAGAAGGCTCACTCACATGGCTGTTGCATGGAAATCTCAATTTCTTGCCATGTGGACACCACTACAGGGTTGCCTAAGTGTCCTGAAGTCATGGCAGGTGGTGTCCTCCAGAGTTACTAATGAGAGAGCGAGCCAGCCCAAGCTGGAAATGACTGTCTTGTCTAACCCAATCTTAGAAGAGATAGTCATCTCTTTGCCCAGGTAATTGTGGGAGAGAACTATACAGGGTGCGAATATCAGGAAGTAGATATCACTGGGACTGTCTTGGAGTCTGCCTTCCACACTTACTTCAGGTGTTGTAACTAGTCTTTATCAGAGAATTACAGTAAGACAAGAGCTGGCATGTTAAGTTACAGAGAGAGATATAATTTGAGAGAAGGAGCTTCTTATGGAATATTTTTGTTAAATCTGTATTTTAGGTATTTTAAACATGAGATTCTTTTTATGTTTACCTGTAAGAGATGCACTGAGGTGAACAGAGCAGCTTTTCTATCATTAGATCTTAAGATTTTTTTTTTTAAAAGATTTATTATGTATTTATTTATTTATACAAGCACTGGGTATAGTCAGAAGTGCTGGAGGGTGAGAGAATTCACCAGAGCCAGAGCTGGGAATAGAGCAGGCAGACCGATGAAGTACACTGCTGAGGGGAGCAGCGGGCGGCAGGAGAGGTCTGCGCGCCATGTGGGACCCTCGCCTAGCAGCCAGGGATGGAACCAGCGCTGCAGAGGCTGCGGGCAGCTTTGCAACCCAGCGCTCAACTGCTGCGCCAGCGGGGAGGCCCTAGATCCTAAGATCTTAAGCTTGTATTAATATTTTTTCCTGGTTTCTGTGTATAAGTGGTAATTGTATACTTTTTTTTTTTTTTACCATTTATCTATATACAAATAGATACACCACATAATTCTCAACTTTAATCTTGCAACTCCCCACCTTTTGTGATAATTTGAGGTTAGATGAGAAGTTTTGTTTTGAGAACTTGCCATATATTGTAAAGGGCCTTAGCAAAATGAAAAGCCAGAAAATTAAAAAGCTGGTAGTAAAGTGGATATCTGGAATCCTTAAAAACAAATAAGATTTTTTGGGCCTCCCTGGTGGTGCAGGCGGTTGAGCGCAGCGCTCTGAAGCTGTTTGCGGCCTCTACAGTGCTAGTTCGATCCCCGCTGGTCTCGAAGCAACCCACATGGCGAGCAGACCTCCTGTCTCGCCCGCTGCTCCCCTCAGCAGTGTATTTTGTCAGTCTGCCTGTTCTGCTCCCCACTCTGTCTCTGGTGAATCCTCTCACCCTTCTATACATCTGGCCTGTACCCTGGTTCTTGTATAAATAAAAATCTTTAAAAAAAAAAAAACAAAAAAAACAAATAAGATTTTTTTGAACTCTTAAGAGTTCAAAATCCCCCTTTTTCTTAGCCCGTTGTTCAGAATTAATGTGAGAACATCACAAGTGTGTGAAGCTGTTAGACTTTGGGGTGAGTTAGAGATAGTATTGACTTTTGCTTAAAGAAAATAAGAGTCAAGAAAGACATTTCATACTCCAAATTAAGATAAGTGAATAAAGACATTTTAGTACCTTGGTTGAAATAGTGAAAGAGAAATAAGGAAGTGAAGCCCCAGCTGGACCCAGCAAGAGGGAAAGAACCAGGATGAGGAGATGGAAGTGTGAATTGAGGCAGGAGGAATGAGAGATATCTAGTAAGTTGAGAGCCTCTGTATCTTGGATCTAGGTAATTTAAAAGAAACTTTGCTAAAATCTATGAATCAGCCAGAATGGAAGGAACCTAATTATAGCAGTGTATTCCCACAAGCTTAATTCTTTTTTTTTTTTTTTTAAGATTTATTTATGCATGCAAGAGCTGTGGTACAGGCCAGAAGTGTGTGTGTGTGGGGGTGGGGGTGGAGAGGATTCACAGGAGACAGAGTGGGGAATAAAACAGGCAGACTGACTGAAATACACGGTTGAGGGGAGTAGCGGGTGAGACAGAAGAGGTCTGCTACGCCATGTGGGTAGCTCCCTGGCTGGCTGGGCATCGAACTCGTGCTGCAGAGGCTGCGGATTGGTTCATAGTGCGGTGCTTAACCCCTTGCGCCACCAGGGAGACCCTTAATTCTGAATAGTTACTGGTATATTGGAGTTTCCTGTTACTAGGAATTAAACAGGCAAAAACAGGTTGCACACAGTATAAAATGGATATCTGCTATCTAACAATCCTTAATCATCACTTACA